ATTCTGAATATTAGTCCTCTGTCAGAGGAGCAGCTAGCAAAGATTTTATCCAATTCTGCCTGTTTCTTTGTCTCTTCACTCTGTTTACTGTTTCCTTGGCTGTAGAGAATTCTTTTAATTTGATACCATCCCTCTTATTGATATTTTCTCTTATTTCCAGAGCTATAGGAGTCTTATTTAATAAGTCTTTGCCTATGCCTATATGTTGAAGTGTTTCCCATTTTTTTCTTCTAACACTTGCCGTTTCTGGTCCTGCACTTAGGTCTTTGATCCATTTTTAGTTCACTTTTGTACAAGATGAGAGATAAAGTTCTAGTTTCATTTTTCTACAGACAGATATCCAGTTTTTCCAGTACCACTTATTAAAGAGACTGTCTTTTCTCCAGTGTTAGTTTTGGGTATCCTTGTTAAGAATCAGATGGCTGCAGCTATGTTGGTTTGTCTCTGTGCCTTCTATTGTGTTTCTACATGTTTGTTTTTATGCCAATAGTATGCTATTTTAGTTACTTTGGCTATGTAGTATAATTTGTAACAGGTATTGTGATGCCTCCAGTGTTGCTCTTTATGCTCTGTTTTCTGTTTCTTCATATAAATTTTAAAATTGCTTTTTCTAGTTGTGTGAAGAATATCATTGGTATTTTGGTGGGGATTATATTAAATCTGTAGATCACTTTTGGTAATAGGGCAATTTTAACAACATTAATTCTGCTTATCCAGGAACATGGGAGTTTTGGTTTTTTTTTTTTTTTTTTTCATCTTCTAGTGTCTTTTTTAAATTTCTTTTCTTTGGAGTTCTATAATTTTCAATATAGAGGTCTTTCACCTCCAGGTCTAGGTTTATTCCTGGGTATTTCTAAGCCATTATCAATTGGATTGTTTTTATGATTTTTCTTCTCAGTGGATGATCATCCTGTTTGCCAAAAATCATATGTATTTTACCTGTAATTTATTATTATTTCTTATCCTGCTGTTTCTACTCCCACCCCTCAAATATTCAGCTTACCCAGGTTTCAGTCCATCCTTTACTATTTTCATCATACTTAGAAACTTTCATGATTCCCCATCTGGGGTCTTAACTTTTCCCTGGACCCTTGGGAGAGGAAAGCATCTCCTGCTCAACTTTAAGGCTCCCACCTTGGCACTCAGGCTGCTCCCAACCCATTAGTCCTCCTCAAGATCTTCATAGCTCTGGTGGTGATTTGTCCATCTCTCTCCACCAATTTTTCTCTGTACTTTCATTTGCTTAAAATATCGGGGGTTTTTTTGTTTGTTTGATTGTTTATTTTTTTTTTTAATTCTGAGACTTGTTTGACATGGAAGACCTTCAATAAATTCTTCTTACAGTCCAAGATACACCTTGGATCCTTAGCTCATTTGAAGAAAAATGATGGATGTGCCCTAAATTATCAATAAATTTCTGCTGGATTATACAGGCTTTTCTACTTTTCAAAAGCTTCTCTGGGTCATTCTTTATGTCCTTTTCCTCATCCCTCTAAGGGATTGGTTCTTCACCAGGTTGAACATTTACACATACACCAATACTAATTGGTATGGTTGAGGGGATACATCTCTGACCTGACCAACAAGGCTTTAAAAGCTCTGGCTTCTAAACTGACTGTCCCTTTGTTTTTAGAAATAAATTTTCATTTCTCTTTATAATTGTCTTCTTGCTTTTCATTTTTTGATTGACACATAAATTTGTGTCACATTTGTAAATGTTTATGAGATACAAAGTATTATTTTGATTCATGTATATGTTGGGTAGTGATCCAATCAGAGTAAATAGCATACCAAATCACCTTAAACTTACCATTTCTTCACAGTGAATACTTTGAATGGCTTACTTGGTTGAAATATAAAATGATATTGATTGGTATTGTAAAAAAGAAATAAATATAAATATCTTTCTTCCCTAATCTTTCTATCACCCTGAGGATTACTACCATTTACCAAGAAGAGTTTATCCTTAGCAGTGTTCAATTGGCTCCTAGGTAAACATACCTATAAATATCTTACTTTCAGCTCTCTGCCCTCAAATAACACCAAGAGAAATAAATCCCTATTTTTCTGCCCACTTTCTGTATTATCTATTTATTTTTTGCTACCAAAAATAAGCAGACACTTCCCAAAGGTTTTCATTTCTAAAAAATTCCTACTTGAATCCTACCAATTCTTCTCTCAAACTGTAGAGTCCAACATAGCCACTAACTCTGGTTTTTAACTCACCTTTAATAAATAGTAAAGAAAAGAAAAGCCCAAAGAAATCAGTCAAAAAGACCAGGATATCCACCATCTTACCAAAGACTGACAGTATACACACACAGGAGACAGCCCCCTTCCCTGAGGCAGGACTCTTGAGAATCTAAAGCACATTGAACTGTCTTTTCAAGTCATGGATGAGACAGGAGAGAGCCTTGAGATCATCCTACTCCCTCACCTGCAAGATGGAGAATGGTCATTTATCACTGTAGTTCTTTTCTCATTATTGAAAAATCTCTTGCAGGAAACTTCATAAATAAGAATAACTATAACTCTTGGATTATAACCAAACCTTTTATTTAACTGACTTAGAAAGCTTGATTTAAATTCTGTTTGGTGTTATAATTTAAAACAAGTGAGATGACACCTCTAAGAATACATATACATCCACATTTTTGAGTCATTTGGAAGGATTGTAGAAATAAATGAAATGTACAACCAAAAGAGTTGAGGTGAGAATTGGTCTCTGTAGGTGTGTAGGGATTGAGTACAGGAGAGGAAGTAATAAATTGGGAAAGAGGAACAGGTTGCATCTTTTTTTTTTTTTTTTTTTTTTTTTGGTCATGGAAAATAATAGGAAACTGGGGAAGAGTGCAGGAAGAGGTTTTTTTTTTTTCCCTCCTACTTCTTGCCTCCCACAGGAAATCACTAATACTTTCTGAGAAAAAGGATAAGCTGCCCAGTTTTTTATCCATTAATGAAATAGCAACTTGGAGATTTTAGCATATTAATGATCACTGTCCTTTTTAATAGCTCAAGAAAATTCTATTTAGAAAGAAAACACCTGACAATAATTTCCATCATTTCTCAGACACACTAGCCCTACTTTAAATGTGACAAAAAAAGTGTGACTTCTAAAACAATGCAAGCAGATTTACATAGGGAATTTTAATACCCTACTATGGCATAATTTTCCTTATTCAAAACTAGGCAAAGCAAAATGGGAAGCATGCAGAAATGTATGATTTTCAAAGAGCATTTTTTCAATGTGTGATATATAATCCTTTTTGAGACCCTCTTGGTAAAAGCAAGCACTGAGTGGAGGTTTTTGTCCCATTTCCTTTCTTGTGTCCTCTTCTAAATGTGACCACTATGAAAGAAGTAGGTCCAGCTCATAACAGAGTTGTTATGGCATCCTTAATCCAGGGTAACACTTCATGAGGCCAGGTCAATTTCCATGGAGGAAGAAGCTGAGAATCTCCCTTTCACTCTTTCCTTCTCCGATACTGGTCCTTGTCCTTGAGCTGCCCCCAGAATTAACCTGGAAGCCTAGTGATCAGAGCAGACATAGGTTTGATCTGGTAAAAACCTTCAGAATGGGCCACCCTATCTCTAGAATTTAACCTCCACCAGCATTACCCTAAGTTGTTTATACTAGACAATGATGAAGGTCATTCATATCTCTATAGAATTATAACTTCTTATTCAGAGGAGGAAACAATGGCATAAAAGTCAAAAGCTATTTTCAGAGCATCTGATCTCACATGCCTTCTAGTAATACCTGAGTCTTGAAATAATTCAGTGTTTTATTATGACTCCAAAGAAAGAGGTTCTCATCCATTTGGCCACCTTGGAATTATTGTACAATCTTCTACGATTATTTATGGGACTCTTCTTATATTTAAAGACTTTATGACAATAGAGAAATAATTGACTCTCATGAAATAGCATATATTGAATGCAACATAATGTTGAAATTTTGGGGTGAGAAAGTGTTGGTTTGCATGTATATGTTTCAATCTGAATAAAAATACAACTATTCATTAAAATGAGTATTTTTCTTTACCATTTGTTGTTCAAGGCTCTCAAGGATCGGTTTTCCCATTTCTGTTTTAGGCTCCACTCTTCACATACTTGCTACTATGTGAAGAGGTTTGTCCTCTCTGAAACTCATGTTAGAATTTAATTCCCATCATGTTGTACTAAATAACCTAGAAAGTTAATCCAGGTATGATGTTTTGAAGTAGGGCCTTTGGGAGATGATCAGGATTAGATAAGATTATTAGGGTGAAGTTGTCATGGTTGCATAATAATAACTTTGTAAGGAGAGACAGAAAGACAAAGGACACATACGCACACATGCACGCACATGCACACACACACACACAGAGTCTCTGGCTATGTGATTCCTTCAGTGCCTTGGGGCCGTCCCTGCAAAGAGAGCATTCTCAGATGTAGCACCTTTACCTTGGACCTCCAGAACCAAGAGTTAAAATAAACCTCTTTTCTTTAAAATTTACCCAGTCTCTGGCAATGTTATTAGCAAAAGAAAACAGCTAATTTAGCTTGTGCTATTTTCTTGTCATGTATCAGCAGAAAGAGAATTGTAAATCTTCTCAGCTTAGCATTTCAACTTCCAGAAGATCACAATCACTATGCAAGTGACTATCCCTATTTGTAGCCTAATAATTAAGATCTATATTTTTACATAAAATCTCAATATCTTGGAAATACCATATGATATTAAATAATTGTATGTTATTCTTTCCTTTTACAATAGGCTTGATCATATCCTCACAGCCTAAAATTCAGATATAGAGCTGGGCAGGTGGCACATACCTGTAATCCCAGCAGTTCGGGAGGCTGAGGCAGGAGGATCACGAGTTCAAATTCATCTTCAGTAACTTAGTGAGGTCCTAAGCAATTCAGTGAGACCCTGTCTCTAAATAAAATATTTTTTTAAAGGGCTAGGGATGCTGCGGCCTCCCTGCCCCCTTTCCCGACCTTAATTTTCTCTGGAGATCTCTCCCTTCGTCCCCGAAGAATTCACCAGGAATCTGCAGAAAAGGCTGTATTGGAACAATTGGGATTTCCTTTAACTGGAACAGAGACTAGGTGTTATACTAATCATGCCTTGTCTTATGATCAGACAAAGCGGGTGCCTAGATGGGTTCTCGAACATATATCCAGAAGTAAGATCATGGGTGATGCCGACAGAAAACATTGTAAATTCAAGCCTGATCCCAACATCCCTCCAGCCTTCAGTGCCTTCAATGAAGACTATGTTGGAAGTGGCTGGTCACGAGGACACATGGCTCCAGCAGGAAATAACAAATTTTCTAGTAAAGCCATGGCTGAAACCTTTTACCTTTCTAATATTGTGCCTCAGAATTTTGATAATAATTCTGGATATTGGAACAGAATAGAAATGTACTGTCGTGAACTGACAGAGAGGTTTGAAGATGTTTGGGTAGTGTCTGGACCTTTAACCTTACCTCAGACTAGAAGTGATGGGAAAAAAACAGTTAGTTACCAGGTGATTGGTGAGGACAATGTGGCAGTTCCTTCACACCTTTGTAAGGTGATACTGGCTCACAGAAGCCCAGAGTCTACTGAACCGCTGGCACTGGGGGCCTTTGTGGTGCCCAATGAAGCCATTGGTTTCCAACCACAGTTAACTGAATTCCAAGTGAGCCTCCAGGACCTAGAGAAGTTGTCGGGACTGGTGTTTTTCCCTCGTTTGGATAGAAGCAGTGATATCAGAAATATCTGTTCTGTGGACACCTGTAAGCTTCTGGATTTCCAAGAGTTCACTCTGTACCTGAGCACAAGAAAGATTGAGGGAGCCCGTTCAGTGCTCAGACTGGAAAAGGTCATGGAAAACTTGAAGAATGCAGGAATTGAACCAGATGATTACTTCATGAGTCGCTCTGAGAAGAAGCTAAAAGAACTCAAAGCGAAGGAGCAGTCAGGAACCCAGACGGGAAAGCCATCCTAGTTTTTAATCTCAGAAGACGTGCTAATCAGCTGAAATGAGGCAGGCATGCATTCTTCAGGCTGATGTATTTCGTGGCTTTCCTTTAAAGAAATGATGGAATCCTAAATTTACAACTGGAAATTCCTCTGAAGGATGAAAAATCTACAATTTTTTTGTCATTGTCTTTTTGACTTGTGAACTAATTACTAAGAGCATTGTCATATCTCCAGATCGAGAACTGGTCTTGTGTCATGTTATCAGGACTGTGTCCACTAGTTAATACTGCATTCATGTCTCTCTGGAAGAACAGTGTGTGAAGGAAGGCATTGTTTTTTTTTTTGTTTGTTTTTGTTTTTTTTATGTATCCAAATCATACATTGTCTTTGATATATCTGCTTTGCTATCTTGGAACTCAGTATTGTATGTTGTCTTTCCCAAGGATCTGAGTTGGTCTTAAAGAAGACCTTTAGAAACCCTCTATTATCCTGTCCAAATATATAATTTTATTGTTTCTTTTCTTATGCCCCATATTCCTCCACCTCTGTCTTCTTTGTGCTAAGCTCAGTGTTTTACTTATATTGTGTCACAGTGATCCTCTGGGGTAAACCCCACTACCCTCATTTTATATCTGGGGAAATTGAGGCTTACAGAGCTTCATATCTTACCCTTGTTTTCGCCTTTCCAGAGATATCACCACACAGAGCTAAGTGAAGACTGGTGGATTTAAGTCTTCCCAACATGGAGACTTTTTGACTAAAAAAAAATGCATTGCCCACTCCCATGGATATTTGTCCTAAAGCCTGCTTGGTAAGAAGGGTCTAGTTTTTGTATGCTACATGAGCCAAAGGGACTTTAATGTCCTCTAATGTGAATAGTCCTTAGCTCTTTGGAACAGAAAAAGTAGGTATTTGAAAGCTCTTGCTTGCTCCAGACATGCCATTCTTCTCTCCTAGTGCTCAGGTGGAGCTGGGTCCATGTGTTCCTTGTTTCCCAGGTGAGCTTTTGTTCTCAAGACTAAGGGACCTAACAAGAGTGTGTGCTGAATCACCAGTGCAGGACTGGCTGCCTCTGTGCCTGCTTGTCTAGACCTGAGCGGCACAGGGCAGGTGGAGCTTGGGGGCAAAGCTCCAAAGACAGTTACCCCTCGAGGGAAGGGTAGCTGTTACTCTGAGTCAGATCTCTAGATTTGGGTTTACCCAGCATCCTTTTATGGGCTATCATAAGTTATAGATAGTAAAATATCTTGAGGGAACAAGAACTTATCTGTCATATTGCTGATGCCTTTCCAAGTAGTATTAGAACAATTTTTGGTGTTTTGTGTTTGTCTCTAATAGAAATGCCAAGGCTTTAAGATAAAGATAAGAAGATAATGAATGGCCTTGTTCTGCTCCTTTATTTGAGTAAAAAGGAAAAGTTGGGGGGTAGAACACAGTAGCCTGATTGATTCCATTTTATTTTATCACACTGTTCCCCATTAGCTTGTGCCAGTCCTTTTCTTAAGGATATATAGCCAAAATGTCACTATGACCAAAAAATTCTGTTACTTTCTCTCCTCAGTGGAGAGGTGATGGTGGGGCCTGGGTGTTTCTCCAGGAGCCCAAGGGGCAGTTCTGTGGGATAAGTCCTGGCTACCTGTTGTGATTCTTTGCAGTTGAGCCCGACTCCCTTTCCCCATCACTGTGCCTTGCTCTGTGCTGCCCTGACCTTCAGCAGCCTTGGAGTTACCTCCTGTGCTCCTCTTGGGATAGTGAACAATGCTGATATTTTAGCTCAATAAACTAATGTCTTAGGTTTTTATTTCCTATGAAAAAATAAATAAATAAATAAATAAAAGGGCTAGGGATGTGGCTCAGTGATAAGAGTCCCTGGGTTCAATCCCTGGTGGTGGTGGTGGTGATGGTGGTGGTGGTGGTGGTGGTGGTGGTAGTAGTAGTAGTAGTAGTAGTAGTAGTAGTAGTAAAAATTCAGATACTGTTTTCCTAACCCCTGGTATCTCAGAAAGTACTGTATTTGTAGCTAGGGTCTTTACAGAAGTAATTAAGTTAAAATGAGGCCATTAGGGTAGATACTAATCCAATATTACCAGTGTCCTTTATAGAAAAAGGAAATTTGGACATTAGCCCTTACAGAGGAAAGACAACATGAAAACCCAGGAAGAAGATGCCATCTATAAAGCCAAGAAGCAAGGCCTGGAACATACCTTTCCCTCATGCCCCACCCCCACAAAGAATCCACTGTGTCAATACTTTGATCTCTGACTTCCAGCCTCCATAATTGTGAGAAAATGAGTGTCTGTTGTGTAAGCTACCCACTCTGTGGTACTTTGTTATGGAAGTCCTAGCAAACCAACACACCAATCCAAAAAAAAGAGTGCAGAAGGTTTTAAGATGCCAAAAAGACAGATTGTAGAACAGTAGGAAATGGGGAAGTTCATTAGGATGACATGTGGGAGCCAAAGGTTACATAAGAGTACAACTGCTATAAAGGAAAGGATTAATTTTAGATCCTGCTGGACCATGCAAAAGGTGTAAATTAAAATTATCTCACCAATCCTAGGTATAAAGAAAAAAAGAACCAAAAAGGGTAGCGAAAAAGAAATCAGCCATAATGAAAGTATATGAGGATACCAGGTTAAAATAAGTAGTTTTAATGTTTGAATACAAAAAGATATATAAAAGCCTTTCAAGCTGCACAGTGGCAAATTCTAGGATTCTCTCATAATGCTGAGAAAATTCTCACTGTCTTACTCTTTGAAAAATCATAGTTCAAAACAGTGGATGATTGTGACAGTGCAACTCAAACTGTTAAAAAAATAAATTTCAAATGTATTTATTGATCACAGATTTTTCTCCTAATATAACTTAGAGAATAAAATACCTACAAATTTTTCTTCCAATAAATACAGATATATAAATAACAACCTGGAATAAGTCATGGATCGACTGTTTGTTCATTTATTAAGTTGAAAGATTATGGGTTATAGCTCCATAAATATTTGAGATACTCAGATGGAACTTTGTATCTTCCTAGATAGAAGTCACCAGAGGTGATAAAATATATAAGTTGCTTTTTGTTTTGCTCTGTCATCCTATTCTTCAGAATGGTGAAATGTATCATCTAATGTCTCATTAAAAAAGAAGTATTTCACTGTCATGGTGGAGAAAGTTGAATTCATCCATCATGATTTAATTTCATCAAACCCTCGCTTTGGTTTTCTATTCATGCATCAGAATACTGGGTTAACTATTATCCTTCAAGTACATTCTCTGCCAAGGTTACTATGATTTTTTCACTAGTTTAAATTACAGTGGGAAAAAGATAGAGCTTATGTAGATGATGGATAAGGTTAAGGGCCCAAGGACTACCAGGGTTGTATAAGAAACTACTGCTGGGTGATATATGCACATATTGGAGTAATGCTTGCTAAAAGTGAGGAGGCAGCATGGAGCAGTTGGCAGGACAACAGGCAGCCTAAATTACATCATTCATTTGATAGGTCTAACATATGGCAACGATTAGATCTCCAAAACAAATGTAAGACTAACCAGCACTCTCCTAGAAAAAAGCTTCCATTCTTAACTTTTCTATTAAAATGCTCCAGTCCAAGTTGTTGCCAATTCTAAAACAACAATAACAACATATATTTCTAAATGCAATCATAAAGACCTTGCTAAAAATTAATAAGTTTATCAAATAGCATATAAAATGTTAAATATTCTTGTTTTATGTCTTTAAATTTTTAAGAAGCTTGATTAGGGGTTTTAAGCCACTAATAAGAATTATGTAATATATAAATCAGCTGATAATTGTTCCACGATGAAGAATACAAATGTTCTACATTGAATCTGGCCTCTGCTTAAGGCAAGTAAAACATGTCTTCAGTTCTGTCATTTTAAATTAATCTTAATCAAATTTTTGTGATAGAAAAAGCATAGCAAAAAATTCTAGTGATCTTTTGGGGAACATAATTTTGCTCCTGTTCTACAATATTTTCGAATAGTTAACCCAAGAAAGAAAGAGAAAAAGAGAGAGTAATAGAGAATAACGTACAACACACTATCATTAATAATAATCACTGATAAGTTGTTATTATACTTAGGATAAAACACTTCATCTAAATATTAGCTTTTCTGATGAGCTACCTTTAAAGTCTCAGGTCCTCTGTAATATAGGAGAATAAAGAGCCTAGAACTAAAGCATGAAGGCAAAACAGCTTTGTGCCAAAATCAAACAGGGGCTCTATTAATCAGCTTCCTATTACTGTAACAAAATACTTGGAATAATCAACTTATAAGAGGAAAAGTTTTACTTTGGCTCAGAGTTTCAAAGGTTTCAGCCCATGTTTGGTTGGCTCTGTTGTTCTTGAGCCTGTGGTGAGGCAGTACATCATGGCAAGAGCATGTGTCAGAGAAAGCTCATTTACCTCAAGAATGGGAACAAAGAGAGAGTAGCAGCACTGCATCCCAATATCCCTGTAAAGGGCACACCCCCAATGACCTAATTTCCTTCCACTAGGCCCTGCCTTCTAAAGGTTTCACCACCTCTCAATAGTGGGATGTGCTAGAGATCAAGCCTTCAACACATAGAACATTCAGAGAACATTCGGAATCCAAACTGCAATAGGGACCCAAACTTTAGTAAACTCCTCATTGCCTGTCCGAATTCTATGCTTTATTCATGTCATTTCAGGATAGACTCAAATATAATCCCATTCTGTCCCTTAGATTTATTCCCATCCAACCTAGCCCTTTGTGTCTTTGATCTGACTTCTATTCACATCCTACCTCCTTTTGTCAAATGTCATTCATCTATCCAAAAGTTTCAAACATTTTTAACTTTTCAAAAGATTGTAATTTCTCTACCCAGTTACCATTCACCTTTGTCAGGATCACTTTATTCTAGTTTTCCTCTAGGAAACTAACTTTTTCCTCATTCAGTCCAAGGACTTGTAATGAAGTTAACTGTACCCCTATCTCCAGGGGTACACAAGCAACAGTGTTCTTCTTTAATGCAGTTTCACTTTCTGAATTTCCACAGTCCAAAATATTAAATGGATAATTCCAGAAATAAGCAATTCATAGCTATAAAGTGCACCATTCTGAGTACATAAGTCATCTCTTTGTCTAGAG